TTACAGGCGTGCGCCACCACGCCCAGCTCATTGCCATATCTTGAGTGACACCCTCTTCTGCTTCATCTTAGCTTCCACTTGGCTCTTGCAGCTGAGCACCAATTGGCATCTCCCCTTGAAGGGGTCTCAATACTTCACCAAGAGCTCTGGAATGTTCACTGAGAAGTTGTCCCACTCTTGGCTCTGCCTCCTGATTCCCAAGTGTTCTCCTCTTGGGAACTGCGCCACCAACCAATGTCTCAAGCTGCAAAACAGGCAACCTCATTGATTGTTCTTTCTCTCCTAACTGATTTACTAACTATCCTGATTGCAAAATATGCCCAAAACTAAACGACCAACTTTCAGTGTCTTGGGACCCAATAAATCCTAGTGCAAACCACCATTGCCTCTCACAGGGACTAGGCACTTCCAGTCTTCTCTGCAAGCAGCAGCAAGAGCAACTTGAAAACATACACACCTACCCTACTACTGCTCCTCAAGGGCTTCCCATAGCACCTAGGGCCAAGTCCAGGTCTCTATCTGGAGCTTTAAGTCCCTGAATGAACAGTAGCTTCTCGTACTGTTTGCACCTCAATTTTTCTACATATGTAAGTATTATCACAATTTATTCTCAGAGGTATCAGCAGTCTCTTCTACCATCACTCTACAGTCTCTAACAGCACAATGCCTTCATCTGTTCTGGCCACCCCATGAGAAAGAGCCTGACCCAGTGCATGAGGCATTTAGGGAGCCCTGGAAAATATGTGTAGAAGAACTGAATAAAATGATGAGGCCAGCCCTTCTACCACTTTTGTATTAGCAGCAGCATCGTGCAAAAATGCAGCCCCCACCTCTCACCCAGCTAGGGCTCAGAGTGACCAAGCCCAGAGGAATCAAACAGGCCACCTATAAGCAGACTGCTCTCACCTGGGTTCTATTTGAAATTATTTCAAATACAGAATGTAAAAACAATAAAAAATCTATTCCACTCACAGTAGTTTCAAAAAATAAAAATAAAACAAAAAGACAACCTTAGGGATCAGTCTAACCAAGGAGACAAAGGAATTTTACAATGAAAATCTCTGAACACTGTGGAGAGCAACTGAAGAAGACATCAGAAGGTGAAAAGACATCCCATATCCATGGATTGTTAACAAGCCATACTACCAACAGATTCAATGCAATCCCCATTAACATACCAATGACGGTCCTCATAGAACAGAAAAGACAAGCCTAAAATTCACATGGAAACATGCAGATCCAGAGTAGCCAAAGTAATCCTAAGCAAAAACAACAAGTCTAGAGGCATCACAATACCTGATTTC